GTAGCCTCTCGTTAGCTTACTGCTACTATTAGACACTGCGCCCACTCTGTTGCCAGATTTGAGAGAAATAAGCAACCAGGTCTATGAAAACAAGCCCAAAAGAAGCAACACATACATGATGTTGTGTAATTTTAACCCAAAACTAAGGCCTCAGGATGACTTTAAGACGTGAACATGGTCATTTTTGTTTTGTAACATTAAATAAAATAATAAAAATATTTTATAAAAAAAAAAAAAATCCCGATCCCCGATTTCTTTCTCCCGATTCCGATCTTTTGAAAATCACGTGATCGGCTCCGATCCCCGATCACGTGATCGGATCGGGACATCTCTAGAGATGAGGTCTTAAAATGTATGGAAAGGGTCTTGAAAGGTATTACATTTGACTTCAGGATTCCTGCATATACCCTGTTATAAGTGTTGCTTACTTTGGCTCTTTATGCATTTAGATGGTAATACAGCCTTCCAAGTTTTTACCAAGAGTTGCCATGGCATCGCATACAGATATGATCATTTGTGAAGTCGTTGCTCTTTATTTCCGCCTTTCGATGGACATAGTCGATCTCATATCTAATCACTGCTGCTGTCTTCTCTGTCTATCTCTTCCACAGATGATCAGGACAACTCTGACAACAACACAATTTTTGTCCAGGGACTGTCAGAAGACGCCACAGTTCAGGAAATTGGTGACTACTTCAAGCAAATTGGAATCATCAAGGTATGGAAGAAACCTGAAAAAATACATTCTTTCATCGTGTTGAGCAGAATATCCACTGAGACTCCTGTCCTCATTTTGTGTTTTTAGTTGAACAAAAAGACTGGCCTGCTTATGATCAACATCTACACGGATAAAGCCACCGGTCAGCCAAAGGGAGAATGTACCGTGTCCTTCGATGACCCGCCCTCTGCCAAAGCTGCTATCAGCTGGTTTGATGGTAAGATCAGTGTTGTGTCTTTACATTTTTCAAATCAATCCTGCTAAACGTTCAGGATCCTTCTCACGGATATTTTGTCTTTTCATCACAGGCAAGGAGTTTAACGGGAAAACTCTCAAAGTATCGTTTGCCACCCGCAGAGCTGAGTTCACACAGAGAGGAGGAGCAGCAGGAGGTGGAGGCGCAGGAAGAGGAGGAGGAGGACGTGGTGGAGGAGGTGGAGGAGGAGGAGGAGGTGGAGGTGGAGGAGGTGGGGGTGTGTAAAACTCGAGCTGCCCCAAGCGTCAAATATCTATTTTTGTGCTCATGTGAATATTGCCCCTCCAGAATGTGTTGACCAAATGCTTTCTGCTTCCAGGTTTCAGAGGCCGCGGCAGTGGAGGAGGAGGAGGCGGTGGACCTAACTTTGACATTAAGGGAGGAGACTGGCCCTGTCCCAACAGGTTAGTTTGCTTCTGATGCTAATGTTTAAAGTATGTTGATGGGGGCTGCAGCAGAGGGGGCGCATTTAACACCTGGCTAATTACGTGATTGGGGAACTGTTGATAACTATATGGTAAACATTTTTTATTTGGGAATGAACCAGTCCTCATTCATTTCCAAACTCAATTTCACAAGAACCAATACTTTGTTTAATTTAAGCCTTAACTAGCTTTTTTTTCACAAAACTGTGTCTCAGGGCTTCTTAAAATGTAATAAACTATGAATGTGTCATACTCACTTAACGGGAAGAAACTCGGCTAACTGACGATATGAACCATTTCTACCGAAACAAAACACAAGTCTCACAACAAGCGTCTAAATGAGCCCTGAGCGAAAAAATGCTAACGCACAGAACTCACGGTATAAATACCCTTATTACTTATCGTAACTGCACATACAATATATCGATTAGCAAACTGAGATTCCACAGATTCCAGAAATATCAGTATCATCACTGAGCGATCAGAACTCGCGACAGGGTAAGCAAACACAGACATCACAACACGTAGCTTTAGGTAGCAAACAACGGAGATATGCTCACCTTTTTCTGTCATTCTGATCAAAAGTTGTGTTCAATGGCATAAAAACGCAGCTGAAGGTTAATCCATAGGTTAATCCATAGGTTAATCCAATGTGTCTGTCACTTTGAAAATGTTTTTGATAATCTATAATAACATTTTTATGTAAAAAAAACTGAGTTTTCATATTAGCTGCTAATGATAGCTACTAGAGTGTATGACCGCTTCCTGTTTTGGGTATTCTGGCTACGCGTCACTCTCACTCCTTATTTGGTTTACGTGTATGTGCTTATTTGGTTTACGTGTATGTGGAACTTCCCCTCGATTCTATTGGTTAAAGAGATGTCAATCATCAAAATCGAACGAGGGGGCCAGAGATATGGAAAATGCACCCAAATGACCCCAGAAGTGTTTTTCTTTTCTAAATCTCTCTAAAAAGGTCAAATTTAACTTGTTTTGCATCAATCTTGATACAGGGTACTTATTATATGTTATAGTTTGGATTCCTAAAGCTTTTAGTCTACTATCCCATCATTCAAGGGTGGTTTTCACTATAAGTAATGTTTTTTTTTTTTGGACGGACACAATCATTTACAGTTTTTTACTATGTTCAATCTGAATTTACTTTAAAATAAAAAAAAAATGCTATATTGATTCTGACTTTTCTACATCCAACTAACAGGTTTATCATTGCTTTGAGAAAAAAGATTATTAATTTACCCCTTTTTAGAAGTGAAGTTATGGTCATTTGTTCTGGGAATGTCATTTTCGAGCCTGAAACCTGGAAAACTCGGGGCTTAACAGGTTAACTAAAATCTGAAAAGTCTAGGTATGATTAGAAAATGTGAATTTAACCAGCGTTGGTTAAGACTTCTCAATTGCCGTCATTGCTCGGAAGTAAACAATTACATTCTGACATAAGTTTGTTAACAGTAGACCTCGGCTGAATAGCTTTATTGAATTGCATTGAATTTTTTACAATATTTAAATCATGTTCTTGTTCTAAATTAAACCAGACTAGACTGCATGTAAAAGACAAAAAAAATGATGGGCGATTATTTGTAAAAGCAGTTCACCCTATCTCCTGAAATGTCAAGTCTGTTCAAAGCATCTGGTTTTTATTTGTCTAGAAAAATATGTATTACTGTTCACACATTTTTATTTATTTTTTACCATCATACCCCGATTTGCCCCATTTGTGATGTTGTCTTAAATGCATTTTGTTTTTGTCCTCAGCTCTTGTGGCAACATGAACTTCGCCCGGCGGCAGGAGTGTAACAAGTGTGGCGCTCCCAAACCAGGAGATGCCGGATTTGGTGGAGGTGAGTGCTTCTTTATTTCAATCCTTTTTGTTCCAAAGCTTTCTTACCATCTGTTGATCTTCCTGAAAAAGATCCCCTTGTTTCACTGGAATAATCCCTCTGGCTGTGTCCGCAGACCGTGGAGGCAGAGGAGGGTTTGGCGGAGACAGAGGCGGTGGCTTCAGAGGTCGTGGAGGAGGTTTCCGTGGTGGAGACCGCGGGGGAGATCGTGGGGGAGACCGTGGGGGAGACCGTGGAGGCTTCGGAGGTGGCGGAGGATATGGAGGAGGAGGTTACAAGATGGGAGGAAGGTGGGTTGAATCACGTTTGTTTTTGGCAGTGTGTACATTTTCTTTGTTGATCACATGCAAAGGACACCCGTTTGATCTGTGGGTCTCTGCTGATGTAGTTTGGTTGTATGACCACTGTAGGGCGCAATCGTTCTGAATAGTTGCACATGAATCTGGAACATGGTTAAAATGTTCTCTATCAATCTTTATAGTATTCTTTAATATGTAATAATTGAGACATTGACCAATGAATCGCCACTGCCTTTTAAAATTCAAGAGATGGCAAAGGCCTTTACATTTGATTGTTTTCTTTGTGGAGAAGTAGTGTCAATAGACGGCTGTTTGATATGGTTGTATGGTGCATACTCACTGATTTGAGTATAACTATTCTTGCCCCTTACCCTCTTGGTGTAAACAAACTACCAATATCTGATCGGGTCTGTAGTCTCACCATGGTTCTTACAGACACTCCCTGCTAATTAATTTGTCTAGAGTCTAAATATTCCACTACACCGGGAGTCACGGGAAGGGGGGGCGGGCACTTTGTTTTTGTCCTTTGGAGGGTCATTAGTATTTGCAATTGTTGATATATTGCTGCTCACTGAAGGTGAAGTGCTGTTGCCTGCTTCTTTTTTTACTGAAAGGAAGGGGAAGGTTAATGAGGGGAAATTGACACTATTTCACTCATCTTTGTCTGTCTATGATAGCGGTTAATTCAATGACAGAAGTCGATGTTCTTCAGAAAAAATATTCAGCTGGTAACGCACATCTGTCTTTCCCTTGCAGAGGTGACCGTAGAGACGACAGAAGAGAGCGGCCATACTAGGAGTTGAGCAGATAGAAACCACTCCAGCCCTTGAGTTCGCCATGGAGGGAGGGATTAGTTCGGGAGAACCTGGAGAAAAGGAACATCTATCTGAACCTCTTATCACCGATTTATGTTCCTTTTTCAAAGCCAGACTATCCCAACTATTACTGCTCATCTGAGCGCAGGACGGAGATGTTGATCTACTGTAAAGGGACTTTGGGGCAGATTGGCACTGTTGGCATGTGGTCAAATGTATTTTTTGTTTTTTTTCCCCCTCTGCTTTTTTGTTTTATTTCCTTGTACATCTTTTTAATTTCCTCTCAGATTCTAGTCGCAGGCGTTTTTGTGAGGTAGACTTCGTACCATGTTTTGTATGAACGGATTAAATGTTTTACTTGGGTTCTTTTTTTTTCAAAATATTAAAAACTGTGATCTCTTCCCTGTGCTCGTGTGAGTTTGTACCATTTATTTGCATTACAGACACTTGTATCCAGCATAATATTAAAACTGCATCTTTAAAGTTGAACTAGTCAAAGAAGTAAAGGCTGCCATGCTCTTTGCATTGGGCCGTGTAGCTGCCTGCAGAGGGGAGGGACCGGCCCGCCCCCCCCCCCCCCCCCCCTGACTCCCGGTGGGTGAGGAGGCTCCGTCACTCCTCGCGGGGATGGAGATGTTAGGCGAGCAGCAGCATGCTCTCACTTACTGACAGCGGGGAAAACCAACAATGAGAGAAATATTCGGAGCTCTACAGACATGCGCCATGCGAGGAGCCGGGTCACGGTAGTGAGGCTGCCCCGCGATGAGCCGCCGACCTCCGGCCCGGGACCTGAGGGCCTTGGTCCCATGCTGGGTCCTCACCCTGAGCCTCATCACCGCGCAGACTGCCGGGGGGGCCCCGCTGCTCTCCGACCCGGGGGTATGCCTTGCTTTAGATCAACAGTGTTTGGTAGATGTAGGATGACTTAAAACTATTTAAAATGCCCAACAGTCAAACCATTAACAGCGTATTGTTACCATGACTTGAAGTAGCCATTGTCACGTTTTTATAAGGAAAAGTCGCATTGGGTTTATTTAACCTGAAATAATCTAAGAATATTGAAGAAACTAATTGAAGTAAAAAATGATAAAACGACTCACTATGCAGCCTCACTGTCTCCAGTTGATACATAGGTATATTAGATTTGTTGTTGATGCTAAAAGCTTCTAATACTGCATTTTAAATAGTGTAGCTGGTTGCAGAACATTATTCACGTATTCGTAATGCCTCTCGGCGGTTCCGTTTTCTGTATCATTTACCATGTTATTTCTTGCATATTATAGTTTAAAAAAATATATATTCTTCTCTAGTGACAGTCATCAAATACATATTAACATTATTTCTCTAAATTGTGGTGCAGTAGAAATACCGGTAGTGTTCCCAGCTCTGCCTGCAGTCATACTGCTGTTAACCACAATCATTTTGGGGTCCATCAACAAACATACTTTACTCTGCATCTCCTTAATCTATGACTTTTACTAATATTATGAAACATATAAACATTAGTTTGGTTTTAGACCTAAACAGTATTGTCCTGCTTAGTATCTGTAATTTGTGATTAAGTTATTCTAACCTTTTTAATGAACACATTTTGGATTTCTATTGTTTGAATTTTACTCCAAACATAAGCCAGGCCTTTGTGTAAAAAAACACATTTTACACATTTCTTCAACTTTGAATGCCTAACAACGATTAATTACGTCTCAAGTCAATCCAATATTTATTTTATTAAAGTAGTCAATTTAGACCATAACATTGTTACAATAACTTAATTTTCAATACAACAGGGGTGGTATTAAAATGCAGATTAAATAGTTTAAAATAAGATTACTTCAATTTAATAAAAGGGTAAAATTCAGGGTTTAGACACCTTTAAAAAAAAAAATGACAAGTCAGTTTCCTTAAGGCTATTGGGAAACTACATGTATTAAGTAAAAGTTAAATATAACCAAATCTATCTTGAGAAGTGCTTTGAGTTTAGTTTATTCACCCATACACTTGTGTCTGCATGGTGACATACAGGGAGACCGAGCCCAATACAACTATTTGTGTCTCAGGGTGTTTTGGGATTTTACAATATAATTGCCTCCCTGTGGTTTGGACATTACTCGTTTAATTTGACATGTCTTTCCTGTCCATCCATAAGCTACAGGAGCATATTACAGCGTTAGGATTTTACATATGTTTCCACAACCATACTCTTGTTCTTACATTTAAAGCCTGCTGGCATTTGTTGTGTCTCTAATTGGACAAAGGGAAATTTATGTTGCGCATTCCTGTTTGCAAAATCAAATCCATCATCGCCTCAATGTAAATTTCCATGCCACCTTCACCAGATCTGTAATCATAGCTGCATCTGCTGTCTGAACACGAAACCTACATCCACATGAGAGATCGTCATATTAAACCATCTACAGGGCTCATCTTAAACCACAACGCACAACATCTGTTGTCATGTATCCAGTTGGCTGCTTTTTTGGTAGTGTATTTTATAGTCATGGAAGTATTCTCAGATGTTTGCATTGAATGCTTGAGAAATAATGACTATGAATTTTCAGGGACACCCCAGGGGTTTCTCTCTCTTACGGGTGGTCCATATCTATACACCTCCTTGGCAGCCTACAGCAGCTACAAATGGAAAATGGTGTTTACACTTTTATGATTTATTATTTTCTCTCATGGGAAGGTATGTGTCTCTGGGAATTTACCAGAGAGTTTTATGAGAAGCAAAGTGTTCCATTGAGATTATCACATTTTTACAGAGGGGCAGACAATAAAGGTTGTGTTTAGTTTAGAGTACTATTAACACATTCTACCTTAATTGCAGGTTTTTCTTGAAAAGTACGGCTATCTCCATCCGGACCACCATATCCACAATGCAGTAGAGATGCAGTCAGCTATCAGGTAGGTGGCAAATGTGGTCTTTGTTTCTTCTTAATTTTTGTTTTCAGAAACATAGGTAGCATTTGTTCCAATATCAATGTGGATGTTCAATGCCCTTATATGAACATGATATGATTTGAGAACAAAGTGGCAGATACAGTATTTTGTTCTACATTATCAGAGTAATCAGGGGGAGGGGTGAGCTTGGTCTGGGACAAGCCCCCCGGGCTGAGCGCCAGTGCGGGGCAGTAAACACGCCCTCACCTCTGCTCAGGGAAACCTCTCCTGAACCCTCTCTGAACCACCCAGGAATTTCTACAACTGTTACACTGACTGTACTACAAGGCAAACTGATGGAAAAGCTTGGGCTGAAACTATCTTTATATTCCCTTTAGCTAATGTATTGATGCAGTAGCTAATCTCCCTGGGGTCCCATATATTTGTATTTTGACCAAAACTTCCATAACAAACACATCGGTAACCTATAGGTAACCTATACTCATAATAGGAAACAATATATAACACAACCATTAGGGGACACAACAACCAACTAACAACAACCTGGGCCTTTGAACACATACAATACGTCTATATAATAATGAATCACTGAGAAAACAAATCACCATAAACTCATCTGCCCGGAAGAGTGGCCTGTGACTTATTCCCTCCTACATGAATTAGAAAATAAACTGCTTATAAAGTAGTTCTACAAATAAAGTGGGATTTAGAGCTCTCCATATCACTTCTTTGAGAATACAAAAGGTTAAAACAACATGGGAAAAAATATTATGCATTATTCCTTGTGCAAACATTTACAATTGAATTTGCATTTATAACATGTGCATCTTTCTGAGTGGTGAACTGTGTTAGTTGAGAAACATGTCAAATGTCATCCTGTTCTTAGCTTTATATGCTTAAGCTTGCCTGAAAAATAACTATGAGAAGTGTTTGTAAATGTTTAGGTCGATGAACCACCTGAGCCACTATCTCACATAGTGACAATGCTAAAAAGCTTCAAAGCCCATTTAAACAATTACATTATATATATATATATTTCCATCAGCATTTTGAGGAGTGTGTTATACCCTTTTAAACTTGATTATCATGCAAACATTCCCCCCCTGCAGTGACTTCCAGTGGTTGTCCCGGCTTCCTGTGACAGGCCAGCTGGACGGGGCCACCCTGAGGCAGATGGCGGAGCCGCGCTGTGGCGTGTCGGACGAGGGCAGCCAGAAGATCTGGGCTCAGAGAGTAAACGCTGTGTTCACTGGGAAGAGCGGCGCCATCAGAGGAGCGCAGCGCCGCAGGAGGTCTGCAGGGCAAGGTACTGTTGGTAGAGTGTACATGTGTGAGTCACCATGTGTATATATTTGTTTTTGAGTATGTTTATGAGAAAGCATGTATGTTTATTTGTAGTGAAGACTTCATCTAACACTTACAAGCTGTGATGCCATATAAGGTTGCAGTATTCAAAGTGGACATTTTCCATGAGAATAAAAAGGAGTAAATGGGAACAAACAGGATTTAAGTATTTGCTTGTACTGTATTTCATTAAAATGAAAAATAATCATCCATTTTACAGTTGAACTTCAATTTGATATAACCTTCATTGAACAGCGACAAAAATCTTTTTCTGGGACTTTCCTCCCTCAGGTAGAGAGATTGTCTGTCAATCATTGTTGATGGTTCGATCCCTAACCCTTGCTCAACATATCCATGTGACTTGGGCAATATACTGATCCCTAAATTCCACCAAATTGCATAACCAATGATGTGTGTGTGAATGTTAACACTCATTATAAGCAGGTTAACTCTTGTACGGTAACCCTGTTTGAATGTGTGTGTGAATGGATAAGTGCTGACTTGTTTTGTAAACGCACTTCGAGTGGTTCCAAGACAAAAAAAACTGTAGATGAATGCACTTATCCATTAACCATCTTCACTTTCCAAGCTTGTAGAGCGTGGCGCTTTTCAGCTCCTGCATTGTTCATACTGTTGTGTGCGGCTGCTGTTGGTGGGATCTGGAGGACAATGACTGCTGAATACAGTGCGTGGTGACAGTTACATTTAATTAAATATCTTAACATGACGTAATAACTAGAGTAGCTGGAAGTAAAACATGGATTTTATATTATAACTATGAAATGTCCATAATTCCTGAGCTTAACTTCCCTTTGTACATTTTATGGACTTTTCTTGAAATGTCCCGACCATTCTCAACCTTTATTGTAAGTGGAACTATTGTGTTGATGTTTTGGAGCGGCCATAAAGACAACGGTTACCTGGGAGGGTCCCCCTGCGTAAACTGAAGCACTAAATGGAGCTGAGGGGTGTAATTAAAGCTGGAGGAGCGTCTGATGTTGCAAGAGTCAGCCTGGATGATTCCTGCTTTTAACTGCAATTACACAAGTCCATAAGTCCATGTATCTACGTCATCTTTACTGGGCGAAAAACTGGCACAACAACATTTATTTAGGAGCTCCTCTGTAGGTTGAGAAAGTTTGAAGATCCCTTTAGTCAAGAACAACACTCCCATAGTTTTTTGATTGTGGCTTCTCCATGAACAACAGCAAAGCACCCTGATGCAGATTCAGTTCCAGTTTGTCTTTGAGCCCTTGGGTTTAAGCAATTTCCTCTATTATTCCAAGATGTGTCCCCAAAAGTAATGCTGTAGGGATTGTGTTGTTAGATTCCTTCCCTAAATTCCTTTTAAAGAATAATTGAGGCTCTTGTTTGAGATTATCCGCTATAAACACAGTAATAAAGCATCCATTGGTGATCAATCACTGCAATTTGAACTGGCTAAAGGCCTCAGGATTTAAAGTGTTTAACGGTAGTTACGAGTGCAGCTGGGCACTGCAAGTTTCTTACAAACTCCATGAGGTAAGTCAGATCCTCCCTCCTATATGAGTACTTTAGAGAAAATCTTTGAGGTGGAATTGTTCCGCTCTTATATGAACATGTGTGGGAACAATCGAATGGAGCTGGGGCCAAAACTTTAAATTATAATATATATTTTTTCGCTTTATGTGTTTTATTTCCCCTCATGCCTGGGGTTTAAATTGGGTGGATGACTTAAGAGATCTGTGGAATTGGTGACACTAGGGTTAGGGTTAGGGTTAATGAATGAACTCATAAATGAACTCAATGAAATGTTAAGGAAAGTACACTGCCCTAAGAGTAAATCATTTGTATTTTTTATGGATCTGAATCCATTTTCAGCATGTGTTTGACTCATAGACCGCATGAAAACACACAAGTTGTGTAACCTTTTTTTTCTTATTGTCTTTTTTTGGTGCTGTCATTCCTCGCATGCATTGTGAATGCAAAGCAGCAGCCTGGTGACAACAGCAGGAGGTTTCTCCCTCCTCCTCCTCTCTCTCCTTGAGCCTCCAGCCTCATGATGTGTGAAGCCCTTGCATTCCTTCCTGTCACTGACGAGGTTGGCTAATGTTCAGGGAATGCAGCGGCGGCTGATGTTTGCCGCGGCCTCTTCTTGTCCGTACCTGACATGTTCCTTCTGGTAAACACATCCATAACTGACTGCCTGGATTATGTTGTTTGCCATCGTTCCTCAATGAGTAGATATGAGTGGCGGACTGTTTGGATGGATTACAGCCTGTCCTTGATTAAGAAAAAACTCTGTCATTATTTTACACCCAGACGTGACTCATATGACAGGTGGTGGTATTATTACACAAAGAGTTAAGTGGCAGATACTTTTACACCCTGAGGTCGGATCTCTTTCTGATCTGGCTTCACATATCCACTGACGTAGTTCAGCAATGTAATGACTAAATTGTGTGTATAATGCGCCTGTGCATCCACCATCTTAAACTCAAATATTAGTTTTCTTTGTCCCATAGTGGCAGGAGATGCTTTATTTGAAGAATGCTTAGGATGAATTGTAATCACTTTGTCTAAAAGGCTGCCTTGCTTTTTGATGAAATATAAAGACAGAGGAAGGATGCCGCTTCCAGGACTGACAGATACCCAATACATGTTTGTTTACAGGACAAACAACCATTATAACATTGAAATACCGACAATAAATATGACAACATGTTACATATAATGTGAACACCCGGCAGATGTAAAGCGTTTGTTGTTTCTGCATCAGTAGTATTGATATTTTAATTTAGTTTACCAGTCTTTATGACTCTTTTAGGCTGTTTGTTCTTGACAGCTACTCTATGGACTACGTTGACATGCACAGTCAGGTGTGCTGCGTGTTTATTCGCTCTCAGCTGTGCTGTGATGTGATTGGTTTTGTGTGAACATGGCTGTCTCTGAGCTTCCTAGAAACTGAAAACAAACCTTGGCTTGTGGTGGGATCTGATGGTCGTTCCCACTGATATTTACAGAGCTGACATTCCACCTCCCTGGTCCAAGATAAGCACCATAAGTGTGATAGATTTGTGTGTGCATCTGTGTGGTTTTGTGTGTATCATTCGAAGGTGTGCAGTGTGCAATTATGGATATTTGCCCTGGCCCTGAAAACTGTAAACCTCTTTATTTCCATTTTTCATCATCACTTGCTTTAATTTGACACAATAAGCAGACTGAACATGAAGCTCATGGCTTTGCTTACTGGAGCTGAAACCATTGCCTGATTAGTGTTTTACATTTTTAAGATTATTTATCTTTTTAAGGATTCTTTTTTTTTGGCCGTTTTGCATTTATTCTATAGAGAGACAGAAAGACTGAAAAGGGGGATATAGAGGGGAAGAAATGCAGCAAAGTTTCCTGGGTCGGACTTGAACCGCAGTCTGCCGCAATTAAGACTTAGCCTTAGTAAAAAGTCTATTCCATTAGAATATTGACAGAAATTGCTAACAACGTAGCCTGAAAGACGGCAAAATCAGTTGTTGATCAACTTCTTATTTTTTTGTGTCCCTACTTTCCCCCCTGAATAAACAAGGATGTGGATATTCTGTGTATTTAATGAATTGTTTTGACAGCTATTGGATACTTTCTCATTGTGAGCATGTTGGCTCGCTTACCTTAGCATGTAGCTGTCTAGAACAACCTCAAAGTTGACACCAGTTACAAACAAAATCTTTCTGCCCCCCCACAAACAATAACTTTGGCTATCAGATGATCTCAGTCACTTCCTAATGTCTGTGATAATCGGCCCTCCCCACACTGTTGCTATAGAGGGCATCATGATAATTGCTTCCATAAGGGAAGTCGGGGAATGTCTTGTGTATCTGACTTCCTGAATTCTCTGCCGTCCTCGGGGACTCTGACTCTGCGGCGGTCTGGCCCCTGAGCTCTGCTGAGAACACAGATCTGCACACATCACGTGGCAAGAAGCCTAATGCGTATCGTTCATCTGGGAGAGAAACAGGGTTGGGAAAGTAGGGGAGTGTGTTCGAGTGTCAAATAACTCCACTGTTCCAGATATTAAATTGTGTATACAAATCTGACTTTCACTTACATTTCTCTTTGGGTTAGAAACCTACCTACTTGTATCTTTTTTATTCCTTTAATGGAAAGACTTGTAGTGTTCGAGGTCCCGCTGCTTTCACTTTTATTATGTAATATTTCTGTGAAGCCTTGCAACATAAATGCTCAGGATCAAGTTTACACTGCTCTCATGTTGACCCCGAGATTTGTGTTTAGTTAAGGCTGAAGCACAAATTCTGTTTGTGTATTTACACACAGATGTTTTGCCAGACGCATGTCTTAATGGCTCCAGATATTTTCTTTCTCCAGGGTGCGATTGAGATCTCATGGCAGTTTAGAGTATGTAGTGCAAAGCTATTGTTAATCACTCTCTCTTTGACTATATATGATCTAACTTTGCACAAACTGCATTGAAATAACTTAATCAAAAATACTCAAACCTGACTGCGTCTGTGTGATGCGACGCAGGCGAATGTGCAGACCTCCCACTCACATTTAGTCTTCACATCGAGGCAAACATACGTTGACCACATCTCTAAATATTTGGACAACTCTAAGTGAGCTTGATGTATGTCGCCACTCTCTAGTTTAGCCTCAAATGTGAAAGTATGTGTACATTTATAAAGCCTTCGTGGCTTAAGTGCATTACACAGACTACTGCCATTTGATTTGATTTCACACTTTGTGTCTCACCCTCTCAAGCCTTCTCACCAAGTAATACTTTTAAATGGCAGGACCTGAGTTTGACCGCTGTACCTTTGCAGTGTGCTCATTTTCCATGGTGGTCTGTCTATGTTTGTCTGTTGGTCTTACTCAAAACCTTGAGCCTGATATAAACAATGTGTAAAAGGGAAAGAAAATAAAGTGCCTATAAAATGTGCATATTGATAAACCCTGTTCTTCTGCAAGTATTGTGTACAATACATTTTGGTAAGATATATGAAAAAATGTATATTGATAACATTTCTTAACATGATCATAAGATAAATGCAGTCTAATTGTCTTGAATAGAATAATGAAATGGAGTATTGGTTTGCATTTCACTTGAAATATTTGATTGATTTTCTTTAAAATTATTACAGCTAACATGTTTAAAATGTGTTTATCAACTCTTTCACCACTGCAGTCTACTCAGACTCCAGCCTCTCAGCTGCTCTCCCTAAAGGTTCATATTATCTGATGAGTGTTTCCTGCGAGGCGACCTCTGCTTGTTGTGACTGTGTGCTGCACGGCTGAGGGTCTGTGTGTGTTTGCTTTGTCTCTAGATTGCTAGGTTTAGTAATCCTACGTATATACAAAGTCACAAATGTCATATTCTGAACTTTGCGACACTTGTAATTATTTCTAAGCTGACAAACCCCAGACACGTGTTGAAGTAAATTGTTTATTCGAGTGTGTACACAGAGTGCTTGTTAGTTTACCCAGCTGAGAGCTGATGTGGTTAATATGCTATCATTTTGGATTTGGAGAGGCTCTGCTTCAAAACATCACAGCTGAACATGGGATATCTGGCATCCGAATTAATAATACGGAGATGATGTAAATACATAGCTACTCCAGTGGTTAATAATATGAATTGTTTATGAAACCTTCTCAAGAACTACCTTACATGTCATTATTAAAACCAGTAAAAATACCAGGCATGAAATCAGCAATGCAAACAAAAAGGAAACGGACATATTAGTTTGATGAAGACAAAGAACATGGTCTCACTGTGTATATATTTGTTTGAAAATACTTTGTCAGATGTATACTCAGTTACAGAATGAAAAACAGCCAGAAGCCCATTCATTTCTCCTGCAGAGGTACATTTTTAAAAGCAGGTCACACATACTTTCATAAAAAAGAAAGAAAAAAGAAGTAATTTCCTGAAACAGCTGGGTGTTGCAGTTTTCAGCAAATATCCCTCAAATGACTATTTTCAACCAGGGATTTTGTGCATTAGTGAGTATTTATGGCAGCTGAACAAGGTATTTAGATTGCACAAACTTACCACAGTCACCACGTGAAGAAACATGTGGCTCAGTGAAACTGTGTGGCTGATTGATGTTTTTATAATATCATTTGTGGATGAAAAATAGCAATATCAAGATTTTGCTTCTCACAAAACACTTTACTATGATCATTGTCGTTCTGGTTTATTCTAAGACTTTTTTTGGCATTAACTCTTTAGTTGTATTACAGTAAATTGTGTTTTTCCGACAAAAAGTTGGGATATTCTTGCACAGTAAAACACTACCAGGATTTTATTTGATTATCTGCAGTAGCAATGGCTGTAAGATAGTATGTTTCATAACTGCATGTCTCATATCTCAAATGTTCTCTCTGTGTGTTTGTGTGTGTTTTCTTCAGGTGAAAAGTGGTACAAACGTCATCTGACCTACCAGATCGGGAACTGGCCTCGCCACCTGTCTCTGGGCTCCGTGCGGCTGGCGGTGCGCGCTGCCTTCCAGCTGTGGAGCAACGTGTCGGGCCTGGTGTTCCAGGAGGTCCCTGAAGGCACCGCAGACATCCGGCTGGCGTTTTATGAAGGAGACCACAACGACGGGGCCAGCAACGCCTTCGACGGACCAGGTCAGGGAAACCACACTCTGATTCAAGTCACCCATACTTGTTATAAGTGTGTGTGTGTGATGATTGTTTTGGGTCATGAACTTGTGTGTGTAATTTGTTCTCAGTCCTCTTGCAACGCTTCCTGAATAAACAAAGCTGAACAAGACCTGTTGTGCGGTCACAATAACCGGATTACAGATTAGGATAATAGTTTGATTTTACACAGTGCTCTAAACAGAATTACACAATAGCAAGAGTTTACATGATTGGTAAACATTGTGTTGACTAAAGAATTTAAGGATGGGTGGTCACCTGCAGGAAGCATTGTATTAGTGCCACAGGTATGGTATTATCTATAATATGGTTAGAGCAGTGATCTGATCTCCAAATCAGTTTGCATGTTTGAGTTTTTAGCACTTTTTCACATTTCTCAAACTAATTTTAATAGCAACATAAAAAGGGAATAAAACCAGACGTTAAAGAAATTCAATGTAATATAAAAAGACACATATACAATTAAATATTAAAGTGAATTAAGCTGAAAAACATGAATCGTTACTTTAGAAAATACAGTTCGAGAACAAATTACAAGATTTTTCAAGGAGAAAAGCAAAGATGAGAAAACAAGTGTTTTCTTTTCCCTCCAGTGTTAGTTGTAGTTCCAGCTATCCAACTGATTTACTGATAGACCAAACAATAAGCTTAACCAATACTAAATGCTGAAAATAGACCAACTAAATCGACAACTGAAGAGCAACTTATCAAGCCACCTCTCAGCATTTGTGAATGTAAACCTTCTCTAACTGTTGCTCTCCTTGTTGTCTTTCAGGAGGAACTCTGGCTCACGCCTTCTTCCCTCGCCGGGGGGAAGCCCACTTCGACATGGCGGAGAGATGGACGCTGAACGGACACAAAGGACACAACCTGTTCATGGTGACCGCCCACGAGATCGGACACACGCTGGGACTGGAGCACTCCCCGATCCGCCACGCCTTAATGTCGCCGTACTACAGGAAGCTGGGCCGCAGCCTGGTGCTGAGCTGGGACGACATCATCGCTGTGCAGCAGCTGTACGGTGAGAGGAAGGGGCTTTTATGGTTACCTTTCGCAGCCCACCAATCTTTTGTGTGCATTAAATGTTGAATAAGCTTGGCTCAAAAACATTTGATTTAAAAGTTCTTGTCCAGATTAAAACATTTCCAAGATACCAAAGAGGCTTTACAGCTCAACTACTATATTATAGTAAATGTTTTCTTTGTGGTTGAAAAGTGTGTGGCCCCAACACAAGGTCAGGAGGAGTGTTAAAAGGTAGCACCTCCACTTAGGCATTTTTACCACTTTTTTCTCAGGTTTAAAAGCTGAAGGGTTGAGAGAAAAATGTATTTTACGGACGGTTGACAAATGTCTCACTGTCTGGCCTCAGGGCAGCTGAGTTAAAGATGGGGAAATACGGCTGCAGTTTAAAATGAACTAAGACTGTGATACACAAAGCCACTCACATTCATTGATTGCTTCTTTTGATCCAAGAGTTGCCTTTGAGGAAAACGCAGAATTAGAGTCATTTCTACTCTGCTGCACATATGATTGGAAGTCGTGGCACTGAGCTGGGAAAAGGGCAGAGAGGCAGCCTGAAGGCCACCAGCTGCAAACATAGAGTGAGAATAAGTAGAAAGGCCAAGCTGCTGAGAGTTTGTTAAAGGACGATTTTGGAAATAGTTAGCTATTTTTGGAGCCAGAAATCAACTCACAAATTAGTGCATTTTTTTTAACATTAACAAGGTTTGTGATGGTTTATACTCTGGTATTGAAAACATAAAATCTTGAATACAAGGAGTTGATACAACTTACCTGAACTGTTTTTATGTGTTTAGGAGTCTTTTCTATCAGGTCTAGTTCTAGGCCTTTCAGCTGCTGGGAAAAGTAGGTTTAAACTGAGGGCAGCAGAGGTGGTGTGAACGTCAAAATAACACTCACAGTGCCCTCAAACACACACACACACACACACACACACACACACACACACACACACACACACACACACACACACACACACACACACACACACACACACACACACACAAAAACACACCAATTATTATCAACATCCATCCTATCCATCACAGTGTTTACCTTTGAGTTTTGTCCGCTCTGTTTTGATAGATTGCTAGTGTTGTGTGGGAGCATTACACACGTCTGTTTGCATGACAAATATAATAGTTTCTGTGTAACGTGAGTGTGTCGTCCCTTCTGGCATGTGTGAGGCAGGTTTCCACACGTGGAGTTCCTCCCGCTTGTTTTTTCTCTGCTGCTAAGATATTGATTCAACCGCAGCATTTGCACAAGGGCACGGCCTTTTAAATAGATTCTACCCGACCTCCTCTGATACTCTTAATGTATGAAATGCAAATAGTACATTAAGTGCTTTCCCTGCTTAGACTCTAAATTGGGGTTTAGAGCGGCTGCTAAAGGCCAGTGACGTCCCAGCACGCTGCAGGAATGTTTGCATGACACACAATCATTTGGATAATTCAACACTGAACTTGAGGTTGAACTAAAAAGCCTGCGTCCAGACTCTTCGTCTTGTGTTTAATATCTGATGAGTCCCATCTGCTCTGCCTCTGGAGATATTATCATATCAGCTTCCCAAAATGTTTTTTGCCAGCCTTTTCTCCCCAGGGGCCTCCCTTACTCACTCTGGACATTTTAGCAACTGAACACTCTGCTAACACAGACACACATTTTCAGCTTCGTTACACTCAATACCTACATATGACAGGATATATTTTGTAAGAAGAGATACTATCATATAACAATTAGTAGATGTTTTAGTTTTTGTTCATTCACCTGATTAGGTTTTGAATTTAAATAAAAGCTAGCTGGGCAATCTTTGCATATACAGTAGTATTAAAAGAAAGATTCCATAACAGCTGACTGACATTTTTTCGATTGTTTTCAAAAAGTTTTGCCGGATTATTTAGATTAGGGAAGCGCACAGGTGGAGTTTATCATGTTTGCTTATCAGTTGATTTCCACCCTGTGGCAGTCATTTCTTCAGACTGCAGCTGCTCCCACGTAAATGTCAAGCAGCTCCAGAAACAGACCTGAAAGAGAACCGTAACTGACAGGAATGATGAGCTGGAGGCAGTGTCTGTGTGTGTCTGTGTGTGTGTGTGTGTGTGTGGTGTGTGTGTGTGTGTGTGTGTGTGTGTGTGTTGAACCATTCCTGATGTTGGTATTATGATCTGATAAGGAGCAGATGTGAGGCAGCCTGAATTATGTTCGTCTCCAGAGCTCCTCTGATTTCTCTGTGACAAGAAACACTAAGAGTATCTTAAGTTAAGCAACGCCCTTGTGGTTTTTCTTTCATAAGACAATTCATTTCCAGTAGGTCTAATCAACAGCAGTGGTATTCAGATATTTTACTCAAGTAAAATGTAAACTATATCTATCTATTATTATTATTATTATTATTATTATTATTATTATTATTATAAGAAGAAGAAGGTGACTTCAGGTGCAATACTCATGAAACGTCTTGTAATGACTGTGCTGATATAAACTAACACAGTTCTGCACAGATTGTAATAATAATAATAAAGCTTTATTTGTATAGCACTTTTCATACAATAGGTGCAGCTCAAAGTGCTTTTACAACACGGCTAACATCACAGATTAAGACAGAAAACAGGAAATGTTGGGTTAAAAATAAGAACCTTTTTGCACATAAAACAAGCACAATATAACAATTCAGGAACACAAGGAGGTAAAAGGTATGATAATAAAAAGAAGCCTCTTATACAAATCTAAAAAGATGTGTCTACAGCTTAGTTTAAAAATGTCCACTGAGTTTGCCTCTCTGATGTATATTGGTAGGGTGTTCCACAGTTTGGGAGCGTAATGTTGAGATGTAGTATCATGAACAGTAATACACTGTATAGGATGACATAGGGCTGTGCAATTAATCGTATTTTAATCGCAATTACGATTTTGGCCTACCACAATTACGAAAACAACATCATCGAAAAAAACTATTATTTTGCTTTGCTAGGTTGTGACAGTGCACTAGAACATATTTGATCTAATTAATTTTGGTCTCATTTATTTGTATTTATCATATTTATATATGTTTAGTAGCTTGTGGAAGTGCGCTCCAAAATATTTGTTGATCTTGTTTATTGGTATTTATTATTTTGATATTATTTATTTAAATGTATCATTTATTTTATTTATTTTTGTATTGGTTTTTCAGTTGAATTATACGTTCAGGGTAATCAACAGTTAAAAAGATACTGTTCAAATTATTATTTGTATTTGTTTTAAAGTTTAATAAATTGATTTTTTCAAATTCAATGAATAATCGTATTTAATAATCGTGATATCAATTATTGACCCAAATAATCGTGATTATGATTTTTGCCATAATCGCACAGCCCTAGGATGACATGCATATATTCTCCTGTGTATGAATGACAGTGGCAAAAATGTACTTTGTTACATGTTAATGCAACAAATGAATCCATCGTAGTATAGAAAACATAAACCATACTCTTCCACCGCCGATGAATGTAAACAGCAGAAGTTATGTTTGAGTGAACTCAGACATCCAGCCCTTATCTCACAACACTTCTCCTACACACACGCACACACGCACACAGGCAGGCAGGCAGGCAGGCAGGCAGGCAGGCAGGCAGGCAGGCAGGCAGGCAGGCAGGCACACACACACACACACACACACAGCTGTTCATGTGTTTTCCACTGTGGTGTGTGTATACATGTTTTCCCTGCCGTGTTCCTCCTGTTCTTGGGTGTGCTGATGTTATCCACCTCCTACACAAATGTTTGTTCAGCTCTTTGCAAACAAAATGTCTGTAATCATGTCTGAAGCACCGTCGTTTACTCTTGTGCTGCGGTATGTTTTTGTCCTGCTTTGACTCTTCCTTCATTCTTTTGTTCTCACGTGCCAGGAATCTGCAGAATCTGTTCAGAACGATAACAACTATTTTGTATTCCTGCGAGCAATTCACTGGGTTTAGGGTTCCAGTGTGCGCTCTATCTAGAATTCTCTTGTTCATTTCCTGGGCACTACAATGTCATCCATCAGTTTACATCAACTCAACAATTGAAATGTTAACATTATCCAAGTGGTTTTAAAGATGAAGTCTCTACTGTTTGTCGGTTTGTCCATGCTGTCCAATTAAGGAAACAACTAAAGTGCTTTTGGCGTGCATAAGAAATGAGACTGTCTGTGACATAATGTCTGTCCTCACAGCTTTGTTTTGTCGCTGTCCGTTTGAATTATTTGTGGGAAATGTAAGCACAGGTGGAAAGACAACTACATTACTCAGAGAGATTATATTACAGCACGTGGATTCATCTTTCCTGATCTCTGATGCCTTTTAGGTTCACTGTTTTGTTGCTTTGTCTTCGCTCTCAGGTAAACCCTCCGGTGATCGCCCTGTCAGGCTGCCCGGCCAGGTTTTGCACGCCGCTCTGCAGGAGTGGGAGTTCACGGAGCTTCACGACGGGCCTCAGAGCGCAGGGCAGCCTCTCTACTGCCAGGGGGTCTTTGATGCCATCACTATGGGTGAGCTTGGACGGAAATATTATTAGAAAATGACATTCAGCATTTCATGACTGTGGTTACTCTAAACCTAAAATATATTATTATCAGCAAACTGAAATAAACGTTCTGTTATTTTATGTATCTTTCTAAAACAAGACAAAGTGATATTACAATGATTGAAATTAAATAAAACCCCAAAAAGAGCAGTTTTCATCTAACCTTCTTAAAAAGTCATAGAATTGTTTGTGTTGAAATGTCATAGTACAGTATGTCATATTTCAACACAAAAAAAAGTACATAATTAAAATGTACAATAAAGCCATAAAATTGCCATACAAATGTCAAAGTATAGTATGTCATAAAAGGTTTTAGTACAGCTTGCCATAAAAAATGTCCCAGAAATGTCATAAAAATGTTATTGTATAGAATTTCACAGCAAAGTCATAGTACAAAATTATCATAGTCAGCCCTAAAAAGTCCTACAGATTGACATAAAACAGGTACAGCATAGCCATAACATTGAATTACAAAATATCAGAAATATGTCATTGTGTGCCATGAAAGTCACAGTAAAGTACATCAGAAAAACATGCCATAGTAATGTATATGTATGTATATAAAAATATTGAGATGTTTTATTTATCTCTTCTGTTTGTGTCTCCAGACCACAATGGGACGGTGCTGGTGTTTCGGGGGGGTGTGTATTGGACGGTCTCGTCTGAGGGTGGTGTCAGCGGCCCCCTGCCTCTCCGTCAGCGCTGGGCCGACCTCCCCCCGGCCATCGAAGCGGCTGCCTTCTCCCCCCTGGACTCCAAGTGGTATTTCTTCAAAGGTACTGCTTCACTGGACCTCATGTGACTCTCACACTTCCTTTTAAAGCCATTCCCTAACCTATTGCCTTACTTCACGAATCCAGCCCCTAAAATAGACTCTGATGTGCCCTTTAAATAGAAAAGTGCTATTTAAAGGCTTTTCTTCACTGAAGCTCAGCTGGAGATTTAAAGTAGCGTTACCTTTGGGCTAAAGGCTAAACACTTGTTTGAAGTTATGGCCAAGCTTAACACTCCTGCTAAGGGCCAACAATATGGCAGTGTTATCTAGATTCACTTACCTGCCAAATGCAGAAGAGCTTTATGCAAAATATAGACGCTCTATTAAAACATAATTTATAATATATACCTATCTTTATCATCTTCAAACATTTTCTTCTTTTATCTGTGACCTAAAAGAGGCACTTTCAAACACTTTGCTCTTACAAGAAGCATTCCACAAAACATTGAACCCTAAAACACTTGGCTAGTCGTCTCTGAAGAAGAATGCAAAATAGAAATCTTGGCTACTTTTTTACAATGGTTATACTTAGTTTAAAAGAACAGAGCTTATTGCATTTCAACTGAGTTTGTCTTGTGAATGATATGATGGTATGTGAAGTACTGAAATATGTGGAGCTACTATGTTCAAATATAAAAAGACGACCAAATGTTTTCTATCATAAAAAACCTTTACGTTTAGAGTGCCTTATAGTTGACGTATAGGATATGTAACTTCATGCTTTCCCTCCTTCTCTCGTGTTGTGCAGGGAAGCGGATGTGGCTCTACTCCGGCAGTGTTCTGGACCCAGGCTTCCCCAGGAGGAGCAGTGATTTGGGGCTGCCTCGCCACCCTGACTGCGCCTTCTACTACGCCCCTCTGGGTCACATGGTCCTCTTTAAGGGCTCCCGGTACTCAGTGCTCAACCTCAAAACTCTGCACCAGGAGCCTTACTACCCCCGCAGGCTGACAGACTGGACGGGGGTCCCCCAGGGGACCAACGGGGCGCTGACCCGACCCGACGGACGCCTCTACCTGTTCAGAGAGCAGCGCTTCTGGAGGTTTGACCCGGGGAAGGTGCGCGTCACCAAAGAGGGCCAGTGGGCCAAGGACCTGAGCTGGACTGGCTGCAGCAACGCTCCTCAGAGCAACAGCATCCTTTGACCAGCAGAGGGCGCTGCGGGCTGTTAGATACATTTGTTGAGAACACTATGATGTAATGGTGCTATTCGTTTTCACCACAAGCCAACATGGAAGCAAGAGGAAGAGGAAGAGGAAGAGTAAGAGCTGGGCTGAGAGTGAGAGGAGGAGGAAGAGGTGGGGTGAGAGTGAGAGGAGGAAGAATGAGAGGTAGAGCTGGAGGGAGAGGACGTGGACAAAGAAGAATACTCTCTAATGAAATGAAATGTTATCAACCATGGTTTGACGATGAGAGAGGCTGGACAGAGGGTTCAGCCTAATCTAAGCCGATGTACTGTTGCCTCTGTAATCCGGACACTTAAACTTGAAAACAGGTTATCAGTTTTTAGCTCTGCATAATTCATGATATATCAGTGCTTATATCTGTTGTGTGAAACGTATTTACTTCATTACTGTAATTGAATTGTTGGCATGTTGCATACTATAACTGTACAGAAATCCTGCACAATGTACTGTGGTAAACTTACTTTTATGCAACGCAGACACTGACCAACCACTATAAGTATATCTTTGTTGTTTATCTGAAGGACTGAGAAACAAAGAGGTGCAGGTGGAAGGCTAAAGGATTTTCAATGAGGCACAGGAAGCAGCAGTTACAAACTGGGTTGTGGAAAACAATGCATCACACTTAGAGAGATCCGAAGCATAGTAACTATGTGCTGAGATGTTGCACAATGTTATTTTTGAATAAAATATGATTTTTTTCAACAACTCATTTGTATTTCTTCATTTACTGTATTTCTGTGAATAAAGCAATCTTTCTCTGCAGAAACCTCTATGTACAGAGCATAGCCCATACAGGATGAAAGTGCTTTAGATTATGCTAAGCAGTGTGTAGTTGGGTGGTCAAACCATCTAGTATTATGAATGAAGTGTGTTATATTTGGTGCAAAAGTTTGCATTTGGTAAGTGTTTATGTAGTTTTGAGTGCAGTTCTTCACTTAGCAGGAGAAATGAGGTGTTTTGCACTTTGGGTGTGGGGTTTTGTGAATTGTGTTTAGCGTTCTGAGAAACTGAGCAATTAAAAAAGAAATGTGTGTTAGCAATCGAGAAAAACTGTAAGAGCATTCCATGGAATATAACAAAAGTGTTTCTGAAGAGAATTACCTACCTCACCTTTAAGAAATCTCACCGGCCTTATCTATTACAGAGACACTCCAGATCAACAGAGTTAGAAGTGAGGGTCGATGTCAGCAGACACAAAGTGCCCTGCCCTTACTAACTAATTTACTTTAAACAGTTTGTAGTTGCAGGATGGGGGAACTTGTGTTTTCTTATCCCCCCTCTGATCTCACCTCACTGAGTCCGTCCTCTGAACCTGGCAGGCAGCCTTCACCTGAGGGTGGAAGCCATCTTTGGTGTGCAGCGCTGCATTTGTACTGAAACACTGTGAAGAAAAGCGACTTATGGAAGTGAGCACATTGGACAGTGAAAGAAAAAGTGGATTTTTAAAAAGAAGCAGCCAGAATATCACAAAGTGAAATCGTCTCTGCCTTTCTCTACATTGTTGCCATCCAGAGAAAACCTTAATTACCATGAATAAGCCTAAAAAGAGCCATGAAAACAGTCCTTGTTTATTTCTTAAATATAACCAAAGGTAATAAGATTTTCTGAGGACAGCAGCATTTTCCAAATGTGCAGCCTAATCTCAGAGAAACAAAGAGATGCATTTAGGCCAAAATAACCTCATCGCTAATATTAACACGGTTAGTTTAAATTGTGTGTGTGTGTGTGTGTGTGTGTGTGTGTGTGTGTGTGTGTGTGTGTGTGCGCGTGTGTGTGTGTGTGTGTGTGTGTGTGTGTGTGTGTGTGTGTGTGTGTGTGTGTGTGTGTGTGTGTGTGTGTGTGGTACTAACATGTGGAAGGTGAGAAATGACCCGGTCCTTCTTCACAGGTGGTAACATGCTGCTGCAGTTGATCAATGAACACACTGTGTGTTGTTAAGGAATAATTCTTCTAGATATCTAACCTTTTACTCTGACATGTGTTATCTCCTTTAAGGAAAGGCCTTGGTGCCATATGTGTTGTTGTCCCCAGTGTGAGACCGGTCAACTTGACTGGCACGTAGGGTAATTGTTGTGAGAACACTGAAGCACTTCTTTATCGGTGTTTGTGGGCTCTCGGATGTGAAATCCTTGAGGCCATGAGCGTTGGACGCAGATGATTCAGTGTTTAGTCTACTCCTTCAGAGATGTTGATTTCTCTCTGTGAACCTGTTAAAAGGTCTAGCATAGAGAGAGGCTCTTCAGAATTGACGTGGCAACTCTACCGTGTAGTCAGAACCTCTGACTCTTTGATTTGTGATGTGAATCCTCCGGCCGAATACTCTGAATAAACCCATCAGTGTTTGACATCAAAGCTCCAACTCTCACCGTGTCTCCTTCCTGAGTCGGTGACTCCATGCATTACTACACAGAAGTTTCCTCCACATGTGTGACACACACACACACACACACACACACACACACACAGACACACACAAACACACACACACACGCCTTCAGGTTATCAAGCTCACTGACAGCAAGCCCACTTTTCATTCACTTCAAGACACACACACAAACCAGGGAAGATTGATAAGGTCTTCCAAGTTTTCCTGGAATAAAGCAAATATCAAAAAGTTAGCATTAATATATGCAGACTGTGCATTAAATCAGAAACATTTTAAAGTGAACTAACATTAACATAACATAGCGGAAAAGTGCACAAGTTTCATATAAAATAAAGGTATTTTGTTTTTGCATTTTTATTAACGCTACATGTTCTCGTATTGATAAGTCACTGTTTAAGGGAGGATGTGGTAGAAGCAAAGTGTGTTGAACAAACAGGATGGAGCATCAGCAGAGAAGGAAAAATAGGCATTTATAAAAAATTAAAAGCAGAAAAATCAGAAGAGTTTTAGTAAGTTTAACAACTGTACCTGAAACTGGAAGCTTAAACTGCTGGAGGTAATGTGTTCTGGGCCTGGAGATGTGATGTTATATCCAAGGGTTGCTGAGAAAATAAATCCAGAACAAAGCAAAATGAGTCTCACAGCACCGAACTGCATCTGCTGACTGACAGCAGACAGACAAACATTCAATTAATGAGATTCTCCCTGTATGAGTGAATACCTGAGAAACAGCTCTACCCTGCGGCCACAGGGTGTTCCTACACAATTCACTGATGATTAACAACATCAGTGTATCTCCAAAAATCAAGTGTCTTCTCATTTGAATGTGTAATTATGGCCAGCGGAGCTCCTTCTCCAACAGACTGCTGCAGCTCCGCTGTCACATGGATAGATACAGGAAAACATTCCTGCCCACTGCAATAACTCTCTATAACAAATCACCTCTGGCTGGCAGAGAACTCTCTGCTCCATAGCTTCTCTTAATAACTGGACTTGAACTCCCACTGTACATTTTACATTCATATTCAATTTAATATTGAATAATCCATTCTTGCAAAATAATATCCTGCTTTATATTTGTTACTGGAAATTTGTATTTCCACATGTATATATATTTTTTATTTTTTAACTTATAACTTTTTAATGCTATTTTATTTCTATTTCTGAAATATTTTGGACTGTTTATTTCTGTGTCTTCATTTTTCTTATGTACATTGCCTTGTGGTTTTTATGCTGCTGCAACGCAAACATTTCCCAAATTGGGATCAATAAAGTAACTATCTATCTATCTATCTTTCAGAGTCAAATCATGCACTCCATTACATTTATTTAGTACCTTTAGTACATTTTCAGAATTGGATTAATGATGTGAAATACAGTCAACACACAAACAAAATTAAACCTGGAGTAAAATCACAAGCTTCAGCCTACTAAGTAATTAAAACTAGCTACACATTACAAGCTTTGATAAACATTACAATCAAAACGTATACTATATTATTCTGAAATCTGCATAATGAGTACTTTTACTTTTGGTACTTTATGTATATTTTGATGCTAATACGTTTATTTTTGTGATTGAGTAACATTATGCAGGGATTTTACTTGTAACAGAGTATTCCTACACTTCGGTACTCCTACTTGAGTACATCATACTCTAGTTCTGGCAGAATAATCATGGATCCCGACGCCTCTTTCCTTCTCTTGTTCTCTTTTCTTTACGGGAGAGTTTAGCCTTCAAGAATCCAACGTTTGGTGCTCTCCACAAATATAAAAATGAATATTAAAAAAGTATTCCACTGTGTTTTCTGACGAGGCAATCTAATGTTTGTTGTCCACAGCTGACGTTATACCGGCCGGACTTCTTTCTGCGTATTGATAGGACTGCACGTAGTCCCTTTATCATTCTTAGCACACCTCTGCTAAGGGTCACTAGATCCTTAGCAGAGTTGTGTTAGCGAGTATTAACCTCTGAAATGTCCAAATTTACCAATCAGAATTGAGTATTCAAACAAAATCATGTTTGATAAATGTTTATTTATTTATTCAAGATGTCATTCAAAGTCATATTTCCTTCTTGTTTCCTGAGCACAGATGTGGAGGTGGTGAAAGCTTCCTGTGTGTGTGAGGAGCTTCCCGATCCCACCAGCACAGAAGAAGAAGAAGATGTAACAACGTCCTCTGTGCTGGTCGGGCTGGGGAGCTCCTCGTCCTCTCGGCTGGTGGGTGGAGCGGGGGTTGTCGGGGGCTGGGGTGAAGGGCATGGAGGTCCTTACTGTACTCACAGGGTCTGGGACTAAGCTGAGAGCGCTCTGCTGTGGTGATGGGTCTTTCTGGGATCATCGGTTGGTGATCCACTCTCAGCAAGAGGAGTCCTGCCCTGTGAGACAGAAACACAAACAATAAATACTCAAATATACAACCTCTGAACTGTTGCAAGCTGTTAAATGTAACCTCCAATGATGGACAAATATGATAAAACTCCAATAATAAATACAATCCTTGTGAGGGGATCACTTACTACGCCCCAAAAGACGACCCCGCTCTTAATCAGTTGTCATCCTTTCTTTTGGTGTGGTCTGCTCATCTTCTTCGTCCGAACATCCTTGAGTTTCAATCTTCCACGGAGTTGCTTTTTGTAGGAAGGTTGATGCAGCGTGGGTAATGCTGGAGACCTGTTAGAAAACCTGAAAGAGACTTGGAGACTTTTCGTGATAGTCACTGCTTTAGCACTATATGTTGCACCTAGAAAAAACTGAGCAGTACTTGAGTAAATGTGCTTGAATTAGTTTAACCACTCACTGTCTTAAACGATTTACTTACCTGTCTTGCAAAGCCATCTATACTTTAAAAAGAAAGAATACACAACCATACCATGTTAACTTACCTCTGGTATCAGCATCGACCATCATCACATTTGATCCAAAAGTAAAAACGATATAAAAAATTAAGTAATATATTAATAAAAGCCCATGTGCAACATTTGACCTATCGACCCAGCAAGACGTGTTTGAAGATGCCTGGGGCTTCATCAGTCCTGATAGAGGCAAAGGATTTCAAATCCTGTAGCAAATACTTGCAGGTGGGAGCTGCTGGACGAGAGGGGAGAGATACACCATCGTCTACAACGTCCTCTTCATCCTCTTCCTCTTACCTCTGCTATCAGCATTGACCATTATCAAATAATATTAAAAAGACAGTAATATATAAATAAAAAGCCCCAATGCAATTTTTGACTTATCACAAAACCTGGTATGAGCATCGACCATCATCAATTATTATCCAAAAGAAAAAAAGGTCGAAATGAAAAATGACATAT